CTTCAGGTACAGGGAGGCTGCTATAAGGTCTCCCTGCAGCCTTCTCTTGCCCAGGCTGAACAACCCCAACTCTAGCAGCTTGTCTTCATAGGAGAGGTGCTCCAGCCCTCTGATTATCTTTGTGGTCCTCCTCTGGACTCACTCCAAGAGGTCCGTGTCCTTCTTATGTTGGGGGCCTCAGAGCTGAACACAGCACTGCAGGCGGAGTCTCAAACGTATGGAGTAGAGGTGGAGAATCTCATGTACCCGTGGGCCTTGTTGTAAAAACTAAATTAAGTAGACACCCTGAATTCTGTAAGGCAATGTGGGGATGAACATGAGGCAACTGCCAATACAGTGAGTGGGGACCCAGTAAATACCGCTGGTGGAGAAGAGAAAGAGCGAGCCTGAGCTCTCCCTGTGGCACATGACTCCAGTTGTTCAGCGGAATAACTCTAAAGGCTGCCCAGAACATCACGAGTGGGGACAGGTTCACTTGCCCTAATTTGGGCATCAGCTGCCATTTCAGTTGGCCAAAGAAAATTCCCAGCAGCCTCTAAGAGGATTCCCCCCAATGTTGTCCTGTCTCTGTGAACTGCTCCATGAGAGCTTGCAGTTGCGTGCACATATCTTCGACCACCACTGAAACCTGAAATGCACCAGGTGTTGTGTCTGAACAGCCCAGTCCTGCCCTGCATCTCCATTAATTGGCATGGGAGCTGAGACAAGGATCTCCCTTTAAGATCATCAAGTCCAACTGTTAACCTAACCCTGCCATCCCACCACTTGTGGTATGCAAGAAATGCAGAAGCCGAGTGGGCAGTAACCACAAGGCCAAGAAGAGGAGGAGCAAGAGGGCATTACCGTGACCACACAGTGATTGGCAGGACTGGAATGTGGCCTTGCTATAAAACTTAGGACTCGAAATTAAACTGCGTCACTTGGAGCATCCATACTGTGTATGCTGTGTTTCCTTGACCCGCAGATGGCAGGGTGTCTGTGTGATACTTCGGGTAACCTTAAAGTTGATACAAAAACCAACAACCACTAAACCTTGTCCCTAAGCACCTTGTCTGCCTGGCTTTTAAATACCTCTGGGGATGGGGACTCGACCACTTCACTGGGCAGCTCGTTCCAGTGCCTGAAAACCCTGTCATTGAAAAAAAATTTCCTAATGCCCAACTTAAATCTGCCCTGGCAGAACTTCAGACCATTTCCCCTCGTCCTATCGCCTGTTACTGGAGCTAAGAGACTGACCCCCACCTCGCTACAGCCTCCTTCTAGGTACTTGCAGAGGGTGATAAGGTCTCCCCTCAGCCTCTTCTTCTCCAGACTAAACAATCCCAGTTCCCTCAGCCGCTCCTCATAAGGCTTGTGCTCCAGACCCCTCACCAACTTCGTTGCTCTGCCCTGGACATGTTCCAGCATGGGTGAGTGGCACATACTCTAAGTTACTATGGCAAACTGAACAGGGCTGCATTAGGAGAAGCATGGCCACCAAACAAGAGTAATCACCCTCCTTGACTCAGCACTGGTGTGGCCACATCTGGACTAGTTTGTCTGTGTGTTGGGCTCCCAAGTCTGGAGGAATAGGGAGGAACTGCAGAGGTTCTAGAGGAGATGTGCCAAAATGGGGTTTGGGACCTCTGTGGTGAAGCTGAGGGACCTGGGCTTCTTTAGGCTGGTTAGATGAAGGCTCTGGGCTCTACACTAGTACCCAGCAACTGCTTTAATCATGGTTTCAGAGATGATGGATCTTTTCTTGGTAGGGGGAAGAGAGGGAAACCTCCTCAAAGTGCAGTTGCGAAGGTTCAGACTGGAGGTGTTGAGAAACAAATGTCATTCCGAGGGTATGCTTGTGGTGCAAGAGGTCCGGACCAGCTCATGGCCTTCTCCAAGGAACAGCCAGCACTGTGTGGACAGACATGAGAGAATGTCTAGAAATGGCCAGGTGAGAAAGCAAGATGGGTGTCTACAGACTGAAAGGAAAGAGGTACAGGCATGGGACAGTGTGGGACAGCCTGCAGTCGAGATTGGCGTACGGCACATACAAGGCAGCAAGGCTACACAAGACCAAGGTCTTTGTCCCCTGGGCCAGGGCAGTTGCATCTGTCACTGAGGCCTACCAGGAGAAACTGGATTTTCAGGCTCTGCTCTTGGTTTCTTCCTCAGCCCTTTGTGGCCAAACCAGGACAGGCTGTACAATATTCTTGCACTTGGCATTGCTCACCCTCACACCCCACTGTCCCCAGAAAGAGCCCCGAGCCACGCAGGAGGGACAGGATCTGCCTTCCCAGAACCTGCAGGTCAGGCCTTGGCCTTTCTGCTTCCTAAAACCAACCAAGGATTTGACAGCATTACAGCCAGGGGACATGGCGGGGCCCCATCCTCTCCTCACCATTCCAAATGCATTACGAGAGTCTTGTATATGCCACCAGTCCTGTCATACATGAAGGGACTCTAGAAAATAATGGGGAGTTTGTAGACCATCTCCACTGCCACTGGACACCAAGAAGAGGGCTTTTAAACCCAGAATACTAGATCCCATGGAAAACAACCTTACCATGAGCTTCCCCCCGAAAACAATGAGAATAAAAAAAGAGAATTATCAAACGACCTGTTCCTTGGACATTTTCTTGGAAGCAATTTTGGAGGAAGAGCACGGCCTTCAGGCAGTGTACCCGGGAGTTCTCCACTTATTGAAGAGCTGCCATCTGGCAAGCCACATGTGATACAGCGTTGTACAAGGGTCAAAGAAAATAAAGGTCAAACTTCAGCTGAAGGAGTATAAACCCAGAATATTATCCCTAAGTAGAATTATCACCAGAGAAAAAGGAAGAATTGTGCCCTAAGATAAACTCTTGGTAATGTTCAGAGAAATGGATGCGGGTTATTGTCAGTGAAACAGCACCCATTGGATCAGTTCCCATAAGGCCTCCTTGATTACCGTGTTCCTCATGCCGTAGATGAGTGGGTTCACAGCTGGAGGCACCACTGAGTACAGCACTGCCACTACCAGATCCAGGGATGGGGAGGAGATGGAAGGGGGCTTGAGGTGGTCAAACACTGCAGTACTGAGAAACAGGGACACCATGGCCAGGTGAGGGAGGCACGTGGAAAAGGCTTTCTGCCGTCCACGCTCAGAGGGGATCCCCAGCACGGCCCTGAAGATCTGCATGTAGGACACCACAATGAAAACAAAACACCCAAAGACCACAAAGGCACTAAACACAATAAGACCAAATTCCCCGAGATAAGCATCTGAGCAGGAAAGCATGAGGATCTGGGGCACATCACAGAAGAACTGGTTTATGGTACTGCCCTTGCAGAGTGGTAGAGAAAATGTATTGGCAGTGTGAAGGACAGCATAGAGGAAGCCACTGCCCCAGGCAGCTGCTGCCATGTGGACACAAGCTCTACTGCACAGGAGGGTCCCATAGTGCAGGGGTTTGCAGATGGCAACATAGCGGTCATAGGCCATGACAGTGAGGAGATACAATTCTGCTGAAATGAAAAATACAAACAGGAAGACTTGTGATACACATCCTACATAGCAGATGGTGGTGGTGTCCCAGAGGGAATTGACCATGGATTTGGGGACCGTAGTGGAGATGGAGCCCATGTTGATGAGGGCGAGGTTGAGGAGGAAGAAGTACATGGGGGTATGGAGACGGTGGTCACAGGCTATGGCAGGGATGATGAGGCTGTTGCCCAGGAGGGCAGCCAGGTAGATGCCCAGGAAGAGCCAGAAGTGCAAGAGCTGCAGCTCCCGCTTGTCTGCAAATGCCAGGAGGAGGAACTGGGTGATGGAGCTGGTATTGGGCATTTTGGCCCTCTGAGTGTGGGGACCTGTAAAAAGGAGATAAAGGAAGTGAGAAATTACGGCAGACTCTGTTTTCAAGAATACCTTCCATGAGCTCAATTTCGCGCTGGCTGGGGTTGCCCCAGGGAGCAGGAGGCTCTGCTCTGGGCTTTGCAGGAGTCCGTCCTGCCCTACGGCAATAGGTAAAGAAGTTGATATCAGCTTAAATCCACACGTGATACCAAAGAGCTTTTCAGGATTGTTGCTCAGATTTTGCCTGACTGCAGAGCAGAGCTGTGGAGATTTTGTTTCGTGTCTTCTCTTCCAGTTGCCCCACCACAGCTCAGGAGTGGTTTTCATGCAGAAATCCCTGGCATTTCTGCTGCCCTGCCAGGACAATCTTGTGGGTCCTGAGAGGCAAAGGGACGGTCCCTGACTGCAGAGGGAGGACAGCCACTCTGTCCATCCGCCCTGGGCTGAGCTG